TTTAAAATTGTGGATTTGCCTGTTTCACTGTTTAAGTAGTTTATATTCACTATTTTACAGTGAATATACACTATTGTGAAAAAGTTGTATACTTGGCACAGTTTTAAATTTAGAGAGTAGGGCCTACCTATCGCCTTCTTACTATTTCCGATCAGGTAGTATCTGTACTGCTCTACAGTTGGATGAGAAACTAACTAGCCAGCGGTCGAAACGAAGATTTAATTACTAGAGCAATATTCGATACCGAGATTCAAGTATCTTTCATTATCTTTCGGTAGAACTGTCGTAGCTTATAGTAACTTTTGAATTTAAACGCATCTACCTACGTCCATTACGAACAACTAGCTTGTAGGTAAAAAAAAAATTTTTTTATACTGTTTCGTACTTGTGTGAAAAATAAACCAACGTTTGTTTAGAAAAATCGGCAAAAAAGTTTGACTATTCTAGCTAGAAATTACGTCTTGCGCTTTCAGTTGACAAAAAATGTCTGAACCCAAGAAAGTCACAAAACAAAAAGAGCAAAATAGACACGTTTTCGTGGTGAAACGTCTATGTTTAAACTGATCGAAGTCGACGTAGCTTCCCTTGCTGTGCTACACAGTACACAGCGGAAAGAGAGAAATGCATGCCTGTAGTAGCAACCACATCCATATGCTTCGAGCCGGTCGTCACAAAATCCCTTATGTTTCGTAATCTATAAAAAAGCGTCTTGAAATAAATAACAACACATGTAAACAGTGACATTTTTGTAACAAGACTTGTAACAAGAAAAAAAATAATAATTATTACTTCTCATAATGATAAAATAAAATAAATTTTATTGTACAAAATTTGGTTTGGATCTTAATTTTTTGCACAAGGTTAATGACATTTATATCCATAAGGAAATTAATCGGTAATTTCAGTATTTTTTAGATACTCAGATGAATGTTCTCGAGAAATGGTATGCTTTTGGTAAACATTAAATGAGTACCTAAGAATTTTAGGGTATGTACGTGATGAGGAGTAGGAAAGATAGTATGGATTTAATTATTTAAAACTTATTTGTATATTTAAATGTGGCGAATTTAATTGTTTCTAATATATACATATACATAATTTATAAATTCTCTTGTTCTACGTACAGATAATAATACTATCTATGATAAAATAATAATTGTTGTTCATAGTACTACACACCAGTACCAATTACGGCATATTGTACGTATTGCTTACGAATAATATTCTAACTTGACGTAAGTGTTTGCATTTGGTTGAAAAAATTACAAAATTTTCATTTCTATTAAAATATATCTTAAGCGCATGGAGTTGTTTGACAGCGAAGTTATAAACAATGTGGTAGAATAGGCAAAAGAGTAATTTCTGTTTTTCTATTAATTGATAGCAAGTACACAGGTTCATGAAATAAAATCCACTGACCTTCAAAATACGATCTACCGTATCAGCAAAATGATGTTTTTTTTATTGTTTTCAGTAAAGTAGTACTTAACTTAAAAACACTCTAAACCACTTATACTTTGGCTTCGAGTTGTATCTACGACTGTAAATAGTTTAAAATAAAAATGTTAATTGTGACCATAAATATTATTGTATAGGAGTTCATTTTGATGCCAAAATTTTTTAGTTACCATCAATGTCTTGAATAAATATTTAAACTCAATAATGGATAATATCTTGAAAGCAAGTTATCCGAAGAAAATCGATATCCAAGATCGAGATTTATAACACTTTTTAATTAACTATCCCCTTATTGAAAATAACGGGTATAATGAGTCAAGCACAAAAAAGTCCGAGTTTGTCTTCATTTACAATTTATAAATGAAGAAAATTCAATGTAAAATTTTAACTCTTTCAACCCCGCATACTTGCTTGAGAAACATTTTTTTTACCGTGGACAATTAAATTTCCGAATGAAGATGAATTCACGTACCAAAGAGACAAAAAGTTAGAGGTAAATTACAATAATAACGATCACCGGTAGTTATAACAATGAACATTACATCAACACCCGGCTGCAGTCGACTGTTTTTATCAATACTAAATGCATATGTGCACGCGTATATAAATCGTGTATACTGTATATATATAATCGATATGTACAAAAGTCAGGGCTCGAGCTGTCGCGCATTCGATCGTCCAGCCCAACTCGAGCCACCCGCGCCGCTGAAAAAAATAGTAATACATGATGAGGAAATAATATAATTAATTATTGCGTCCATCCGACACTGGCTATCAGCTTGTGTCGTTTAAATACAATCGGCTACTCACTGTTCGCGTAAAAACAGTCGCGCTTAAATGAAGCGTTTCGAGGACGCTGATCTACCACAAACAAGTTCATTTCTATATTAACGTATGTGTCAGTGCTTTATTAAGATTTTCTTGAATTTTCGACTTGTTAGCGCTACATGGTGTACGAGCATGATTATACTAAAATAACTAAATGAAACAAATGAAATGACATTGCAAAACTAGTGATTGTTTTCTGTGTTTTTTAGTTTAAAATGATGATACAAAATTAATCTTTCTGATTGTGAAATAACTAAGTATGATGTAAATGATGAAAACGAATCCGCATTCTAGCTTACGTTTCTGTACATAGTCGCGTTCGAAACTATTCCCGAGAGACTATTTAAAAGCTGCACCATCCGTTAGTTAAAGCTCGTATTAGTTAACATTAGCTCTTAATTTCCTGATTTTTGTAATAAAATTCTGAATGAACATCGATCTTGAATGCATGAAAATAAAAATATCATGTCTATTCCCACCAATATTCGCAAAAACTTATGTAACGTACTCTAGCGTGGATGTAAGCCAACTGGCTAAAAAACTGAAGCAACGTTATGTAAACATTAAATTTGTGATGACGGTAAAAATATAATTTTATGAATGTAATTTTCCAAGACATACAGACAGAATTATTTGCAACATCATTGTAAAACTCTAGATCTGTTATCTGGATGAATTGTTTTATCAATGTCCTCATTCATTGATAAAATGTAATTGTAAGAACTAATATCCAGAAATCTGCAAGATGCTATCAGCGAAACACAGTTCCGCCATTTGATCAATACTTACTTAAACTAATGGATGGTACTATGGTACAACTGTCGGAATCACGATGCACGGTGTATGAAAAGACATGTGTTCCGAAGGATAACCTCTATTGGGCCAAGTTGTGTAACATCAAACTATTACATATATATACTATCATTTCAAATATATGTATATTTTCCTCTTCCATACTATAATGTAATCTGGTAGTGAGTTTGGTACTGTTATATTTATGCTAGACAATAACTACACAGTACGTATAGAAGTTATCCTTTGAACCACCTGTATATTCTCATACCGTGGTCAAAATGGACCTTGAAAGTTACTGACAGAAAACACGGTATCTTGTCTTATAACCATCTTAAATACATTACAGTACAGCTTTGGACGCTAATGTTTACGGTAACTTAACTTAGTTTATAAACGTTCATTCATTGTTATCTATCATTTTATTTTTATCCAATCAATGAAACAAATTTTAGACTACGTACAAAAATACATAAACACTTTCTTGTCATTTCATTTATTTCAGTGGTTATCTCAGTTCCGAGTTCAACTGCTACGCGACTCTATACGTACTTAGAAGGCGAATGAATTTTTGTTACAGTTTGCTTTATCCACGTTTTTTTTTTTTTTTTTTTTTTTTTTTTTTTTTTTTTTTTTTTTTTTTTTTTGAAAATGCACCACCTAAGCGCGTACTATCCTTACGACCATGGCCAAAAAAAAACGCAAGACACATTACAAGAAATTAAAGACTGTATGGTACAGAGTAGGGGTTTGTTCCTACCGATTTTCAACTAGTGAGGCGTCTTAACTCATACTCGTGTTTATCTTGCAAATAAAAATTGTTAAAATTATTATCATGATTACATTATTGTTATTATTATCAATCTTATAACATTATCGGCCACACGAACGCAACGTGATCGATAAACGCTTAGTCAACAAGCCTTTTGAAACGCGTACGCGATGAACTAAACCTACAGCTCTTCCGTACTTGGGAGCCACCTTTTTTTTAATTTAAACTAAGTTCGATGTTGAATAAATAATTGCTTAAATAATAATATTAAATTACATAAATTAATTAATAAGTAATGAAAAGGCTTGGTCAACTAGTCGCTTGGATTCGATTATAAATATCGACAGTTCGGTATAAAAGCACTGGGGAATGTCGTTGATTCAATCGGCTCGTCAGCCACCAATCGATCGATTGGACGGACGATGATTCCGCTGAGAGTAAAGATAAAAATAAATACCTACTGTACATATACATGACGAAGAAACTTTTTTGCGCGACAATTCGATATGATACACATTTAATATATATACGTATGTAGATGATATATTAAATATATACTATGCTTGCAGATATCGACGATCAAAAGTCGGCAAAAGTCAATAAAATCTAGGCTAACAATAGTCAGACTCAATGTCAAGTCAAAAATGGTTTCTGGCCATCATGACCTATTTTAAAAAATATATATTTATATATAAATATGTATATATATATGTATGTATATCTATACGCTATTTTACATTATACAATAATACAATACATGCCCATGTAGTGCACATGCACGAGCCACTAGATACCTGCGGGGTTACGCCATACAGATTCAAAAATATTCTTCCACCCCTCGTACAATCGACGTTTGGTACAAAATCAACGCGTCATCATACACATACAACCAATACACGAGTGACAATCATATGCGCGACGTGGTAAAGCAACAACGTGCCTATCGTATGATCCACAAATAAATACACTGCCACTTGGATGCTTTGCACAATGAGTGCAAAAAGAGCTAAAGATGCCGCGATTGTCGTACAGAGACACGAATCGAGAGAAACGGGGAAGGTGACTTGTCGCGAAAAGCACTGGCCAGGAATAATTCATGGTACAACTTGAGTGTACTGTCACAGTATCTATTATATATGTACAGCTTACGACCTCGAGTGGCACTTCACTGGTAGAACCAGCTCTGGGGCAGAATGGTCGCCAAGTAGCACAGAAACGAGGCGTACCAATGCAAGCCATCGCTTGCCACGGTCGTCGTCGTCGTCGTCGTCGAACTCCTCGTTTCCGTTGTCGTCGGTGCATCGCTCGCTACGCTCCAGACCAGGTCGTGCAAGACCTGGGCCAGTTTCCCGATGCTCGACTCCACCATCGCCAGCAGCCTGTACGGCATAAAGGCGTAGTGCGCGAGGCTGTCGCTCTTCGACACCGCGTAGCAGGAGGCGACGACGTCGTTCACGAGAAGCGTGCCCTCGTAGGTGAGCGGCGCGAAAGCGCCTTCTTCGACGATCAGCTCGACCTCGAGGACCTCCTCCCAGCGGAGCGCCAGTCCGGCGGCGCTGCTGCTGAAGCTCGCGTCGATCTCGTTGCTGTCGAGCTCGTGCCTGACCAGCAGCCGATCCCCGGGCACAACGCTGGCGGCGAACGCGGGTTCCTTGCCTTCGAGGGGCACCAGGTGCTGCGGGGTCAGTTTGAGCACGTGGCCGGAGGTCGTCGTCAGGCGCATGTATTGTCGGCGGGCGTCCGGTTGTCGGTCGATGAACGCGATCACCTCGCTGTAGACGACCTCGCCGCTCGAGCGGTCCAGCGCGGCTACTTTGTCGCCCAGTCGTACCTCGTCCAATCGGCGCGTCCTGCCGTCCGAGGTGCGCACGAAACTCGAGCCTGGGAAGCAGCCTCCTGACTTGCCGGCCGACGACGATTCTGCAACAACGAAGAATTTCACGGTCAGTTTTTCGTTTTGGTGATTGGTGTATCTTTTCACCCGTGCCAGGAGTTGGAGACCCGACTCAGTTTTGGAGCCTTGTACGGGGTTCTAAGTGATTTGATTTTGTTACAACAATCAACGAATTTTTATTTTTATCAGAAATGCAATGTAACTTGTGGGCGTGAGTTTTTTTGTGGCCAAAAATAAGGAATTGCAAATGTATTTCTAGCGATAGGTACTTTACGACTCCTAAGAGTCCCAAGAGGCCCATCAAATTTGGTTAAAAAAAATATGTAATTACTGATACGAGTTGAAACTATCATTCTTGATTGCTTGGCAGCGGTAGTTTAATGAAATTTTTTTCCATTATTACGCAATGGGATCATTGCAGTCTATTTTTCTGGTTAAACCACGGTTGTGTCTTTCTCTTTAGAGGTTATGTGGGTTAATTTGATTAAGAGAAATTAAGGTAAAACCAAGGTAAACTGAAAGATTCACAAGGCGCATGCGTTGGGATTCCCGAGTGTTCCTTGAACTATTTTACTCTGCGGAGTATCAAATCATTGTAAACAAAATGTAAAAGGGGTATTCCGCTAAATGTCGTATACATTCCCAGTACTGAAAAACAAGTAGCTCCAAAAACCTAACCTCTTTAGACTTTTACTCCTTATAATTTTCTCGATTTTGCATTGGTGTTTAGTGCGTTTTTGTTAAGAACCCAGTACAGAAGAAAAAAAAAAAAAAAAAAAAGTTAACGTACAAAAAAATTCATGAAAAGTACATAAACTCACCTGACTTGACGGAACAGTGTATATGTGACCTGGACTCATAGTAGACCCAGTCGAAACCAGCCTCGACGGCCAGCCGGGCGAGCATGCCGTACTTGGCGCGATCGCGGTCGCTTGTCGTTACGTCTACGGCCCGGCCCTCGTAGTGCAGCGAATCCGTCGCGTGCTTGCCCTCCTCGTCCCAGCCTTCCGTCACCCGCAGCTTGACTCCTGGCCACTGATTCATCACCGAGATCGCCAGCGTGTTCAGCTTTTCCTTGCACCTCTGAAAATCAATCAAACAGTCGGAATTAAAAATTGGATTCACTCCAGATATCTGACAAGTACAAGAGTGGGTCATATATATCATATTCTTGGGTTTTAATATTATTAGCTTATCTTTATCCTAATAACCGTAATGAAAATACTTGTACATGGTTGTTAATTATGTTCACGTATATTCGTTAACCTATTCGTACATACATTACATCTTTGCACTGTAAGGTGCACGTGTTGTACAGTAGATATTCAACAACTTGCAACTTAACTCTTAAAATCTAAATTAATGAATCAACGCGTAAAACAAAGGAAAAATTGTCACTTTTTGCAATACTTTACGAATCTATAAACTGAATCAATGGAGGACCTACACGTATGTACTGTAGATTTGAAATTTGATGCACTAGCCTCGAAAGACGCGCGATGCGCCACAAAGGATAGTTTGACAAATAATCTTACAACTAACTTCATTCAACACATTTTATAAAATCTCAGGTTTAATTCGATATAGTCGAACCTTCAATTCGATACTAATCGCTATCTCCCTTTTATAATAGGATGAAAACTATGAATTCTGACATTCGCATCCATATACATGATCCTGCGAATTGTACAAGCTATAGGTACAATCAAGAAAGTGCTAAGGATTCGAGAACGATAGAGCATCTATAGTGTTCCATTTGCTACAGCAAAGCCTAAGTCACACTGAAAAAATCGTAATATCGATCTTACGGAGGCACAGACATACGCTACATTGATCACAGAGTTGTGTCCGTGGGGTATATAAATTTTGGTTGTTCGTAGGAATTGGTAAATGACGTTTATAATCACACAATATACAGACGAGAGCTCAATCGCAAAGACACCGGATGCCACAGGGTCATCTTCCGCCTTTCCTCCTTGGGGACATTCATCTTCCTCTTTCGCTCTGCATTGCCCTTGTCCTTGACGGCCACTTGGGAATCTCAGGTGACTTTCTCCACCGTAGGGCAGTGCTTTATACAACATACTCGCATTGGGGTAACCACCAAGAGACCAACAGACGTGCGAGAGCGAGTGTCCCCGAGCTAGTGCTCTGGTGTATACAATTCCATCCCTTTGTCGGATATATTAGTAATGGTTTACGTTTGTCACTGTTCAGTTACTCGCTTCCACCGCATTTTCTTTTTCTTATTCTGTGTGCTTTTCGCGCAGGAATCGTCCGTCCAGAAGAATATACTTCTAGAAAAGTCCCTTTCCAGCTTGCTCACCCGAAACGACAGTTTGAAATTGTAAACGTTCGATTGTAAAAACGTTACGCGCACATACCTCTTCCTACTGCAGAGCGGAGGAATCGGGGGCTCCCAGAGGATGGATCGGGGGCTCAATTATCAATCAGCCGTGATGTTTCCAAAAGTGTGGAATTCAACGAGGTAAAGAGAACGAATTTATATTTTTCTCAACTCGCACGTAGGTATACGACACAAGTTAGACAATACCTTGACATTTATAGTTGAAGCGTACAATGGATAATGGTACACGGGGTGGTTTGCAAATAGACTCGCTCGACAAAAGCCATTAGTCAGGCAGGAGGCGGTCAGTGGTAAAGGATGAGACCCAAATGGAAGTCTCGAGCAGGAAAGGAAAGGGGGGGGGGAAGGGAAAACAAAATAAATGGAAAGCAGCACCGACAATTCGAACAAACGGGGGCGTAAGGCCTAAGAGAGTGAAAAAAGAGGGGGAGGATCGTTGTCTATTTTGCGCGAGCGGGAGACAAGTTGGGCCGACCACACTCGCACACAATACACGCTACAATGGACGAGGAGCGGTAACAAGCTCTTCTTCGAAAGTCAAAACAGCGTGCGCCCCATTGAGCCGAACGGAGAAAAAAGGCACCGCCACGCGCTCTCGTTTCTCTCTCATCCCCCGTAACCCCGGCCGGCTGGACTTCTAACCTCAATTTATTGTGCTTCCTGCAACACGAGAGATACGTATAGGGCCAATGACACAATTCGAGATTCGAGGAGCGAGGGTACGGTAGACCCCTCTCCCCAGCAAGTAAGAGACGCAAAACCCCGAAAGGATTTCCGAAAGAACAAGGGTTCTCGACGAGGATTTACCTATGTGCAGAGAACTTTTGCGCGCGAGCGAGTGACGCAGCGTAAACTTGAATACACACGCTCTAACTGTATACATACGAATGGGATATAAAAAACGGGGCCTGCAGTGTAGTTGTGCAGAACTTTTGGACTTTGGTTGTCGTTTATATCTTGGGAAAGAAAAGAAAAATAAAAAAAATAAAAAACAACAAAAAAAACAAATAAACCGAGAGCCTCTCGCTTTCCACAGGGGCGGAAAAGCCCTTGACTTTAGCCGAAGCCAGCGGTGTCCTTTAGTTTGATACCTTGTTCATAGGAATGTGGACCAAGGACCAAAAAAAAAGGAAGGAGGGGGGGGGGCAGAAAAAAGGTAGCAGCAGGGGCGGATCCGGACTCGATCGCATCGGGGATTACTCTCGAGGATAATCTCGCGGGCGGGTATTCACGGATTTTCGAAACGCCGAACACTTAGCCGGGCCCCCCCGGGGAATTAGATGCGTGCCAGTATGGCTGCAATGCAGTCATTGTCGCGTGCTCCTCGCACGCGCGATTTTTTTTGCGCTCGTCGAGCGTGACTTGCTGCTTTTATTTTCATGCACTGGATCCTTTTTTCTTCCTCATTCTTGACCTTTTTTTTTTCGTTTTTGTCGCCTCGCGGGAATACTACAATGAACGACAACGACGGCGATTTCACGATCGATGGCACACGTGTGCATTGTAGTACACGTGTGCTTTGCACCCAACCATATATTTTTTATTTCGGGGTGGAGAAGATTTACTTCTTTCAATGCCAGCAACTGGTAGTGAATGAAGGAATTTGCTGTGTATACAGCCCATAGTACCCAAACATGGCTTTCTGCCTTTTACCAGTCCGTAACACACTAGCCTCATCCCAACCCTCGCGTGTAATTGAAGTTCCATGGAGTAGAAGATGGTCCAAATATGCTACGCTGAACAGTATTATATATGGGGATGGGCCCCTTTCTTAGGATCTCGCACTCGGGTAGGTCGGTGTGCATGACATACGTACCTATAGCGCTCTTTGTACGTGCAGTGTACGGTGGATGCGCATGTTTTTATTCTTTTTTTTTGTGTAAAGAAGGAGGAGCTTGCGTACAAGCATAATGGTTGCGTGAATCTTTATGAGATTTTGGATTTTACAATATGTTTGCCCCTGCTTTTGCTTGCCCTTAGAATGAAAAATTGCCTCTCTGTCTTGCTCCTTTTCCTCTTTTTTTTTATGTGTGACGAATAACAATTTGTGGAATGCGATGGATAACTTTACGTCTTAGTTACGGATGATAAGTGTTTTTTTTTCTTTTTTTTTTTTTGTATGCGACACTTTTTTTTTATTTACCAGATTCGCTAATTTTACGCAACCAGATAAAGTACATGAAGTGCTAGCGTAGTTTCTGTGATAAAATTTAACTTGTCTAACTTGCCGTGTCAACCAGTGCACAAGAAAATTAAGTTAAATTTTCAATCAGAGTTATTAAGGCCCAAGCGTTCTATGGTACGTGTATAAAAAAAATGGGACTTTAATAGAGTGCGATGGCTTCCTTAGAGCTGAGAACCCTCGCCGCGTTAACCATAGCTTACACGCAAGAAAAAAAAAAAAAAAAAAAAAAGAAAAAAAAACACCGAGAGCATGGGAAAAAGACAATCTTGCATGGAAAATTAAAAACTGGGTGGTATAACATAAAATGTCTAGGCAAAAAGTTGATGAGGACAGGGAGACACACGCTGTTATTGTGGTTTTGGTGGGTTATTTTGGGTCTGGCAGGAGTATTTAAATAACAGTGCGAGTCAGGAAGACAAAGTGGAAAGTGAGATATAGTTATAGAAATGCAAAATCAGGGAGATATGCTTTTTTTCACGGGATGCTTGGACGCGGAAAAAAATTAGGAGAGGAGGGGGCGGGGCAAAAATTCGAGAGTCGTGGCGTCGCTGAAATTTTTTAACCAAAATTTGAATGTGAATGGAAGGAAGTAGGTATATAATAGGTGCCTGTGTGTACGTGAGCCTGCACGAAGGACGTCGAAGGACTTTCTCGAACCAATACATATGCTTACGATTCCATGGTATTATCGAGTTAAAATTACTTTTGAACTCGCTACTAGCACTCGCTAAAATCACGTGGCAACATAAAAAATATTCAATAAGTTTAACGTTTCAGAGAAAACTTTAGGGATTATACGGAATTGATAAATTGAAAAGACGTTTCTAATATAAAAAACTATTTCAATACTAATTTTTGTGGATCTTTATGTTACTACAATCGAACAAAGTGGAAAAATTGTTTGTAAATTGCGTCATGGTCAACCGTTGCTGAATAGAATCTTTTTGAATTTTGAACAGAACACATAGGGTTACCGACGTAGCAATTCATATAATTTTCTCTTTAAACACAATACATACTTTTAATGAATTAATTTAGTAGGTAACAACAGCACGCATAGTTCATTGACTATATTTCGTTCGTTTACTTACTTATTGTCAGACCTGGGAACAATTGAAATATTAATTTTTGAACAATTTTAAAGAAATTTTGGTTTTTCCTGAAAAAATTTTAGATGACACGAATGCCAACGAAATTCTTTTTTTTCTAGCAGATGCTTTTGGATATTAACGTTCATTGTTCATAAAAATAAAACATTTTAGTAACTTTCCAAATCCTTTGACGTATTTTCTTCTTTAAATTTTGATCAATCATTTTTGACGAAAAAGGTGTGTTAACTATTAGGTTGTACTCAATAAATTAAAAAAAAATTGTCTTAAGCATAAACAGCGTATTGTATTTTAGGTAAAATATTATATTGAAAAAAAAAAAAAAAGTTAAAAAGTACACATTTGTAGCAAACATTAATTAGACCCGTGCAAATAAATGAGTTAAAAACACCGTATTGTTAATAGCGCATGTATTTGTCAC